TAGTAGTAGTAGTAGTAGTAGTAGTAGTAGTAGTAGTAGTAGTAGTAGTAGTAGTAGTAGTAGTAGTAGTAGTAGTAGTAGTAGTTGTTGTTGTTGTTGTTGCTGTTGTTATTGTTGTTGTTGTCTTCGTTGTCGGTGTCGTTGTCGTTGTTGTTGTTGTTACTGTTCGTGGTGATGATGTTGTTGTTGTAAGAATATGGAGAAAAGGAAGGGAGAAAAAAAAGCATTTGGCGAAGACGGCACTATAATACATTCATGCCAAATCAAGAATAATAGTAACATAAATAACATCAACGGGTTCACAACAGTACTTATGCCTTGTCTTGTTGTGTGTTTGCGTGAATGCTGCTAACGTTTGTAACATTCCACTACCATTGTAAATGACCAAGACAAATTTCTCCTTGTGAGATGAATAAAATATATATAAGATTGTCATTGTCAGAAACAACACGCAACCAGCAAAAACATTTTTTAGAAATCTAACAACAACATTACCAACAACAGTATCAACCAGAGGTGCATGCTGCTCCAAACGACTTCTTCAACTGATACATTGTACTATACTTACGTTTCTATTTCTGTGTCGACAGTTGACTTCGGCTACCAGGCTTTGATGTCCTTGTGAAATGAGAACGAATAATCTTAGCTATGGATCGTCATTGCTTGCCATGGAAGTTTCCTGGGTGGCGAAGAAATATTGAATGATGAGTGAGCCAATACTATGAGCATACTCCAGAAATAATAGGCCTATGTTTCATGAACCAAATAAATCATACCTTTTGTGCATTCCTTACGCATGTCGAGCTTTGTTTTCTTTGTGTTTGTGTTTGTTTTTGTGTTTTTATTGTCGCTGTTTTGTTTTTGTTAGTTGTTGTTTTTTATGTACTTTAAATCGTTTTGAGATTATCTAAAAAAAAAATAAAAAAACAACGCTGAGAAGCATTCAAAATGTCGAGTTATCAAAAGCAGAAAGTGGAAAAGTTCTGGGAAGGCCACATCATAAAGACTTACAGGCCAAAACTCTAAGTGTCAATTATATTCTGTTATAAAAAAGGACCGAGAAAGGGAACAAGAGCCAAACAACAACAACAACAACAACAACAACAACAACAACCTGACTCCCAAAGAATGTTACACTATCTTACAATGGTTTAATTAACGTGACTGGTCGATCAACTCAGTCTGCCAGAGCCAACCGGGGCTGATTAGACACAGCATTCCACAGAAAGATTGAGAATCTCTGTAGAATTGTTTTGCCTCGCCGGAATCGGACAATTTGGTGAAACCAAAGATAGTACATAACAAGATGGGCCACTTCTCTCTTTGAGCCAATTAAAAAAGTGTCCTCAAAATTTGGTAGCGCCCTCTTCACAAAAGCGCACTCTTTGCAAACAGAGTTACCCTACTTGAGTTTTAAAAAAATCAAAGTGAAACTAGCAAGTTTTGGGATAAATTTTGGAAGAACGCTTTTTTAAAATGGTTACGCTGACAAAAAACCTCTTCCGGAGGAAAGGGTGATGGTTTTCTTCGTTTAATTTGACTTTAGAATGAAAGGCGAGAGGTCATTAACATTTTTAAAAAACTAAAACTCCGCACTGAACGTACCCGAACTGCTGATGAACAGCAGTCGATCTGCACACGCAAGGAGGTGCTATTCCTATTCTTCTTCTGGAAAAACGAAAGAGAGCTTCAAAACAGACTGCAGCGCCATCTGAAGCAAAGAGCATACTTCCTGCGGACACTTTTTTGGCTGAGTGGCCCATCTTGTTATTCACTATCTTTGGTGAAACGACGAAGAGTCGAACCAATATCCCGCAGTCACCGCTCCACCGTTGGAAAATAAATACAGATCAACGAATCTAACGAGGTACTGTCGAGGAGCTTGTACATAACCTCGGTCATTCTACTAAAGGTCTTTGGGTAGAACATGTACTTTCAAGTTGCCTATCCCAGTTCTGCTGCCGGTCAGCGCGACATTAGCCACATTCTGGCCTGGAAAGGGAGCACGCCACGTTATAAATTATTCTTTGCCTTCTGTCAAAGCGCTGCACAGACAGATGCCGGCCGCCGGATGATGGAGACCACAGGAAACTCTACTGGGAAGGAAAACAGTGGCGTGGCACCATCCCCTAGCCCACTCTATCTAGAGGCTCTTTGATGGTTGGGAATTTTATTTATTTATTTATTTAAAGGACTGTTTTCGTGGCGCTCGTGTAGCCTACATACTGGTTGAACAGAAGGTTTTACATATCTTCATTAACCCTATCCAGTTATTTTGTACCCCCGGGGTTATATTCTTCACATTTTTGAGTACTTCTAACACGAAGATCTCTTTGAAACTTTTTCAGTACCAAACCCTTTCCTTTACACTCATCTGTACACATAACATAATCATTATTATAATACGTGTAGTTTTCTTGCACTCATAAACAAGACTGACACTCACATTTATGATATAAATGAATAAGTGTCACCGATAATAGTATTGACCTTTAAAAAAAAAACTGAGTTGGAATTTGCTATCACAAATTGATTGTAATGTCTTACGTTCCCTTTTCATGATTTAGCTCATCTTAGGGGAAGAACTCCTTTCAGGGCCGACCGGATCTGAGTCGGTTACAATAATATCACAATAAATGGGCGGAGATAGGTATACTGTACGTAACAATTAATGATCTTCAAGATGCGTGAATCGGCGTGTATTTGATTGATACTCATCCGCCCCGCCCCGCCCCCCCC